TCACATGCACTCACGCTGATTTATTTTCTGCTAATCAAACTCTGATTTCCTGCCAGTCAAGTTTTATCATCTCCCCAAATGGCACAAGTCCTGTAATGACATCTGGCTGCTGCATTTTGTCTTAATATAGACGTCATGACTGCTCTTTGATTAAAAGAGCAATGTGTGACACAGGCTGCCCCAGGCTGCCAAAACCATCAACAAGGAGAAGTTATGGCAAAGTCTATGCATGTACAGAAAATCTGTGTGACCTCCTACAACTGCTGTTATTATTCGGACTGGAGGTCATGCCGTATAGAAACCCTACAGCCACCTGCTACTAACCCAGGTAACCTTATTTCTTTAGAAAATAGGGTGAGAAGCTACAGTGGGATGAAGAAAAGCTTTGGGAATGTGACTGTGAAGTATCCTGGGGAGAAGTGGTGGTACCCCAGCGTGCAGAGGCGATTCAGAGAGGACTGGGGCTGGCTGTGTCACCCTCCCCTACACCTCCTCCACCTCAGCGCCTTGCACTGTCAGCATGTGAATGCTGGCACTAGTATTACAGGTAAAGGCTATAGTATGGGTGAGATCTAAAATTTACACTGGGTCAAGGGGAATTCCATGGACCTGTGGTGTCTTCTCACATTGTGGTGTCTTCTCACATGGTGTCACTCTCATCTATTACTATAGTTCAGCCGCCTTGATGCTACTCCATAAACGATGACTAAGGGGCTTGCCTAATCACTCAGCAACACACTCTTTGGCTTCAAACATGCTTTTGTGACTGGTGGAACAGCTTGAGATCATGGTATGTCTATACTGAAACGATCAATCTGTTTTGAACAAGATCCTACGTGATTATCCCAGCTAGGTCTGGTATGTCTGACTCGCAGCCCGTGTAAGCAAATCAGCATCTACAAGTTTAAAATGAACTGCAAGGACTTGCCTTTAGGAATAGCACCACTAATTTATGAAGGTGAGAAGAACAGCGTAATGTAGACGTGATGAGTTGACCTGTAGCAACCTTTACCGGAATATGGCCTGGCACTTCCAAGATTTGCCGTGAGGAGTTTGAAAAAAGGAAACAAGGGTGTTGTAACTTCTCAGAGATTGCACCACAGTTGTCTCTAGTTGTGCAAGTGAATAAGAGAACTACTACAGGCTAGAAATTTTCAGAATTATACATTTCATGGTGCAATTGCCTATTGATTTTGCTGTGCTTGTTGCTTGCTGCCTCAGTAATTGCTGTTGGGGTGAACATGGGAAGGTAGGCTTGGGGAAAAAGAGGCACTGGAGGCTATAATGGTAGCGGTGCAGAATTACAGGGTCCCAGGATTTATGGCTGTAGGGCTGTTAACAGGATTTAGATGAAGCCATCTATTCCAGACCATTTGCTAAGATTTGCACCTCTTTACCATACTTAAAAATATCCCAGTAGAGGGAAAAGGAGCTGGTTCTACACTTGCAAGGTGTCTTCAGACCCTCAGCAATAGCAGAGGCTCTGTAAACAGAGCATATTGGCACCTGCCTCATGTTTTCTCATCTTAGCACAGTCCATGAACAAAGTTACACCTTAAAAGCTGGCTTAGAGAAAAGGAAGCCTGGCTTCTGTATTTTGTCATATTTTTTTATATTTCTGTAGAACAAAAGGAGCATAAGGCTAAGGCCAAAACTGCTTTCTCTTGCAAATATACAGCTTGCAGGTGTGGGCAGAGTTTAGCCTAAAATAACTGGAGGCAAAAGAAAGAAAAAAGCCGCTTAAAAATGTGATGTCAGCAGGAGAAAATAGACTCTGTGGGGCACTGGTTTTCTAAAGCCTTGTTCGGTAATCAGCACAGCTCATTACTGTAGCTGTGCACAGTGTTGCAAATGGCATTTGGATGAACACATTTCGTCTTTCCATCGCGCTTGCTAGTTGACAAGTTGCCTGCCCAAATTGCTGAACCATGCGTATTGTGTCAAAGAAGAGGAAAGCAGCAGATTCTCTTTGTTGGGGTGGACAGCCTGTGCCAAACTCTCAGTCAGTGATTTTTCAACCTTCTGTTTAGAGCCCTACAAATTCTCCTGTGGAGGTACAGGACTTTGTATAGATGCCTTTTCCCCCTGCAGTGATAATCATATTGCTTTCCTTTCCCTCCCAATCTGCAGCATACACCTGACTCCGAGGTCTGCAGACCACGTTTTGGAAATCAGTCTCCCAAGCAGTTTTGTGCATTTACAGTTTCACTTCATTCTTTTAAAAAAAAAAATATAAATCACTTTCTCATAGTATCTCAGTTCAGTCCTTAGACAGTACTGAAGTTGCCATTGCAATGCATGGGGCAATCCATCCTGCAATCACGGTTACAGAAGGAAGTAAATGCATGTCTGAGATCAGCTAGCGGCATGTGACCACACATGACACTGCAAGGCACATCACAAGTTCTGGCTCTCATCTGGATTTGCTTTGAGCCTCGACATTGGAGCTTTCAGAGGGAATGAAAAGGGTTCCACATTGCTTCTTATTTTAGGAAAATGCACCTTAACTGGCTATGGGGGCTGTTGTGTCTCCTTTGTGCCAACCAGTAGCATAGAGGGGTCAAGGAGGTGTTTAAATTGCACTTCAGTCTCACTGGAGGAGGAAGAGGAAATGAGAAACAGAACAGGATTATAAATGATAGCCCAAAGGCAAAGGAAAAAGGTGACTGAAAGGGGACTGAATTTAGGGTTTGAATATCTTTTATTTAATGTGTAATTTTTTGGTGATGAAACATTGTAAAAGGTTGCCCAGAGATTTTGTGGAGTCTCCATCCTTGGAGATATTCAAAATTCAATTGGACACAGTGCTGGGCAACCTCCTCTGGGAGGCCTTGCTTGAGCAGGTGGGTTGGACCAGATGATCTCTGGAGGTCCCTTCCAACCTCAGCCACTCTGTGGTTCCGTGGTTCTGTGTTTCAGATATTTTGTTCCATTTTTTCTGGAGGAAAGAATGAGCTGAAAGAATAAAATAGAAAGCTAGAAAAATCTTTCCCTTTTTCAGTCTAATAGCATTAACTTCTGTTAACCTTTCCAACCGCTGCCAACCTTGTCAACGCGAGCAATCCCGTTAGCTGGGCTGGATTAGTGAACTCCGATATCAGCCCCAAAGGTAATCCTTCAGCACATCCAGGCTATCTCTGAGGTTTTCCTTAGCATGGAAATGAGGGGGCAAGGAAGAAGCACTGATGCACATTCCGGTTCTGTCTCCCCATGGGGTCAGGATTTGGCCAAAGCACACACCTCACCCAGGAACTAGGAAATGCTGCTGGGATGTTTTATGTAGATGCAGCTTATGCATGCATGAGTGAGGAAGCTGTGGGATACACACAGAGAAATGTGTGTGGGAAGAGATTTAGTAGCCATGCGGAACAGCTGCTCATATTTAAGAGAAAGACAGGACAAGGTTTTAAATGGAGCCTGCACATAATGCAGGTTATCCCGTACAGAAGTATGCATGTGGTTGTAAGGCTGGGGTTTAGGAGTCCTGGGCCTCAGGCTCTTTGGCTACATCCATGAACAGACAGGCTACTGCTGCTATCATTTAAGGCGCTCTGTTACCCAGTGCAATTTTCAGCATCAAGTTAGGCACCTGAAGATGACATCTGTAAGCAGAGCTGTCCCAAGGAACAGGCAAAATGGGCAAATGTCTGGGTTAGATCTTGCTGGGGAACAGCTGATCCCCTCCCATCTCTTTTTACCTGCCCGTGCCCTCCCAGAATTTCACAGAATACTGCTAGCATTACTTCTCTCTCCCTCTACTTGTGCTGCTAGTTTTAATTTTGCATTTCTGAGGCAATCAAATTCAGTTTTGCCTGACATCTGAGAAATCCCTAAGCTGGCTCTGGAGCCGGGCTGGAGCAGCTCAGGAAGGGGTCTGCTCAGCACCAGCGCTGGCGTGAGGAGGAGGACTATGTCTCCAGGGACAGGAGCGGGGAGAGGACACAGCCTGAAAGAGGACCTTTTAGTAGTAGTTAGAGCCACTCAAATCAATGTTTAACTTCATGTATAGGGCCATGCTGGTCTCTACCTGGAAGCACTCAGGAGTTAGGTAAGGCTTTACAAAATTATTTGAGGCTAGGCTGAGTGAAGGGCTGACGTACCTCAAGTTTTAGGCAGCACTTAAGCATGGAAGTGCAAGACTGCAATTCGAAAAGACTTGATACTTTATTCCCTAATCCAGGAAGTTCCCAAACTTCAGACATACATAATTTTTTTCACTTCAGAATTATTCAGTGGCCTCTACTCATGCTGCTCTGGGCTCCGCTCCCTTCCTGGTGGGATGGGCAGGGAATTCTTACACACCATCTTGTAGTAGTCTGGGATTCCCACAGAAGCAAAGTCCCTACGCTGATGGTGGGAGAAGTGCCTCCTTCCTTAGACAAGACATCCTTACCTGAAATGCAGGAAACCTGCTAGTAGAAATTATGTCCTCACGTAGCGATTCATGCTAATCATTAAAACATGATTAAATGCCAAGAGCTGCCAATTTATGGTCTGAAATTCTTACGGCACACATTTCCCATGTCTGAATTACACATATTATAGAGGAGACAGATACGGTGAAAGAAGAAAAAAAACAAAACAAAACAACAACAGGTTATTCAAGTTAAAACAGCCTTTGCTGTCCTGCACTGGTCTAGTACTGGGCTGGTTGCTCTCCCATCCATGGCCTGCTCTGGTTCCGCGGGGTCAGCCTGACACACCCAATGACCTCTTCTCTCCACGCTATCGAGTGTAAGACACTGGAATTAATATATCGGTTTCTATCTGGTAGTAAAATACCACATGTATCAGTTTACACGTGATGCGTATGTGGCAGACAAAGTCCTACCACACATGTAGCAGCAGTTTATAGTACAGTTAGTCAGAGGAAAGTTGAAAGTGAAGAAAAAGGAACATTTCCAGTCAGAGGAGGAAATGGGCAGGACAAGATGAGCAAGAAAAAAGGCCTAATATTTCTTCCCCCACCCCAGATATACATATATAAATCGTGAGAGAGTCATTTCCCCTGCTTCCTGGCTGCCACTTGTTTGCTGCATCTCTTTGGGACCACACGCCATCCCTCCAAGATGTGGGCAAAGGTACTGTCTTGTTTCTTTGCACTGTAAGATGCACTTTTCTGTTTAAGCTTTTGTATCCTTGCTCTATGTGTTTCAGTAGGCGTGCATCACACCAGGGGATATGTGGTTCACCTGCTTTAAATGACTTGTGTACCTCAAGATAGTCTTAATGCTTTAGTACAGAGCTGAGTGAGAAATAATGGGTACAGTTCTGGTCACCATTACTAGAAAAGAGAAATCCAATTGGAACAACGCAATGAAAAGCTACTAGCATAGTAGGGGTGAGCCTGTACTATAAAGGAGAGAGCAGCATGGTTTGGTTTGTTTAACTCAGAAAAATGAAAACCAAGAGGAAATATCATCATTCTGTGTGGATATGTGCAGGGGAGTAGAGAAAGGGGAAGGACGAGGGGAAGGGAAGGAGACAATTTCCAAAGAGAGAGAAGGGCTATATTCAATAATGCCAATATAAAAAAAAAGCAAGTGTGTATATAGACTGGTTGTAAATAATATACACCTCTACAGGGAGAATCATAGAATCGTTTAGGTTGTAAAAGACCTTTAAGATCATCAAGTCCAACCATTAACCTAACCCTGCCATCCCACCACTAAACCATGGCACTAAGCACCTCATCTATCCTTCTTTTAAATACCTTCAGGGATGGGGACTCAACCACTTCCCCGGGCAGCCCATTCCAATGCTTGACAACCCTTTCGGTGAAAAAAATTTTCCTAATGTCCAACCTAAACCTGCCCTTGCGCAACTTGAGGCCATTTCCCCTCGTCCTATCGCCTGTTACCTGGGAGGAGAGACCAACCCCCACCTCACTACAGCCTCCTGCCAGGCAGTTGTAGAGGGTGATAAGGTCTCCCCTCAGCCTCCTCTTCTCCAGGCTGAACAACCCCAGTTCCCTCAGCTGCTCCTCATAAGACTTGTGCTCCAGACCCCTCACGAGCTTTGTTGCTCTCCTCTGGACATGTTCTATGAAATAGAAAAGTTTCTAATGGTTGGAGAAGGGAAGTTCTAGATTAGTTTCTAATACAGATATTAGCAGCAGCTAACAGCTCCAGGCAAGAAGAAGCAGGCTGAGTTTGTATAGTGGGGTCAATGCTCAGTGGGAAAGGAAAAAAAAAACCCAAACTAGAAATATAATTTCCAGATCAGCAGGAGCGAGGAACAAGGAGCCACTGCTTTTCAAAGAGGTGAGATCTTGTCTTGGAGAAAATCTGGGAGTCCAGCTGGGCATGAATTCAATGGGAGGTGGGAGCCGGGAGCGGCGGGTGCAAGGTAGGGCTGCCAAGTCCTGTCTCCCACTGAGCTCCAAGCTCAGCAAGGGTTGGGGTGGTAATTCTGCTACTCAGGTTAAATCTTGCCTCCTTGTGTGGTAGTGGCTGCACTGGCTTGAAATGCCACTTTCCCACTCATTTCAGTAGCAATAAGAAGGTGCTATGGAAAGCCAGATGTTTTTTGCTTCTTTTTGTTTTGTGTGTGTGTGCATGTGTAGATATAGATTATATAGATATAAATTATACAGATATAGACACAGATATACATATAGATATAGATGTAATCTTGCAAAGTTACATCACCTGCAGTGCTTACCCTCCAGGACTCAAGTCAGGGAGGAAGCAGCAGAAATACAGAACAGACAAGGACACATGAAAGTATAAATGAAATATATGTGGCATTTCTGGGAATAAAAAGAGGAAGAATTCGAACCTTAGTTTTGCTGATGCAATTCATGTAAACAGGGACAGGACAACAGAAATAGCCAGTGAGGTAAGCAGTGGCCCAAAACCGAAAGAGAAAAAAAAGGGGGGAAAAAAAAGGGAGGAAAAAAAAAAAGCTTTCTTTAAATGAAAAAAATATCTACTGTTACTTTTTTTTTTGCCCCCTCCCCCAGACAATTACAGGTAATTTTGCCAATGTGATTCATGGTTTGAATGCAAACCACTTGACAGACCAAGTCATTCAGAGAAGCAAGCGAATGATCCTGGATACTCTTGGAGTGGGGCTTCTGGGCACCAGCACTGAGGTCTACCACAAAGTGACACAGTACAGCAAGGTAAGGTGTCTGGCATTCATAGCATACCCTAAGGTTTAGCTTTAAGAAAAGCAAGGGGAAATTTGGACTCTAAGGGGAAACTTTGTCATGGTAAAATTCTTTTGGGGATGGAAAGAGAGACACACTCCCACTGGAGACAGGGAAGCTTCATTACTCGAGTTGCTTTTAATTCTGGATGGGCAAAAAAGTCTGTGTAACAGACTGGATGCTAAGACCCCCCACTGCAAACACAGTTAATAAAGAAACCCTTCCTTTCTTTCACCTATGAGATTTTATTAAAAACATCGTCAAAGCAAGCATCACTTATCACCAGACTTTCCAAAATAAGGGACTGTTAAAGGGATGGAGAGTTAGTAGTTAGCAAAACATTAACTGTTGTCTGAGGTACATTGGTCATGTTTGTCCTCCAATTGTGTTCTCCTTGCACTTGAGGAGTACTTGACCTTGAGGAGAAGCCTCCCCAACACAGGAGGGCATGAACGAGGAGGGGTTTAGCCCACTGTTTTATCGGTCAGGCCTGCCTAGCCTAACGCAGGCTTCACAGCTCTGTGTGCCAATAAGTCTCTTCGCGCAGAGATCCCCTCTTCCCAAACCATGGTATGGGAACCATTTATGCCCTTTTATTTAATTCTGTAAATATCTCTTCATTGGTTAAAAGATCTGCACAGCAAAAGGAAAAGAGCAGAGCCCTTTATAGCATAGGGACACCAGCATCAGGGGGCAATATATCATTTACCCAGGGCCTACTAAAGTGTAGAAAATCAGAACCTTTAACTGTAGATCTTCCCCAACAAGATGCTGACAGTCCTGAGGGAACTGCCGATGGGCTGTGAGAAGGGACATCAATGGCCAGAGGTCGTGTGAAGGTACTGAATGGCCATGTGGATGGTGTTGGTCTGCCCCCTGAGGTCCGTTTAGGTGGAAAGAACCCTTGACATAAGTCAACAGGAAGCCGGGTTTCTTTTTATACTTTCTGATAGAACAATATTTCTCTCATGAAAGGGAACAGTTGGGTCCCAAGAGGGTATGGTCTGATCTCAGTTACGTCAGAAATATGGCGCACATCCTTGGGTTCAGGCCTCTGCATTAATTGATGTCAATTTGTTTCAGATCTACAGCTCAGATATATCCAGCACCATCTGGGGCCACTTGGATTTCCGACTGCCTCCTCTGTATGCAGCTTTTGTGAATGGAGTGGCTGTAAGGGATGCTCTTTTATTTGCTCTTAAATCACACTAATTGATCCCATTCTCACTCTAGAGAGAACAGAATGCTCCTAAAATCTTAGTTTACTTTATTCTTGTGCCTGAAGCCTGCCACAAAACTTTCCTAGGCTGTTCTAAAGTGCTTCAACTTTCTTCCGATGAGACTGGGCTTAAGGAATAATATAGATCTGATCCAACTTAAGCATCCCTTACCTTTCATGTGGGACTTGGGGTTGTTTTCAAAGGTCAGAACTCTACAGCTTGTTACACCCTTGCTACAGCCACATTACAGAGACATATTCTAGCTCTCACTGATTTCACTGGGATCCAAATTTCACCCCAAGTGGCAAAGTATAGCTACAGAAAACCACAAATACAGACAGATGCAGGTATACATACACACATATAATATCACAAGGCGATTTAAGCTTCAGTCATGCCATTTGCAGAAGCCAATTATATATTTTGGACACATACTTCATCAGTAAAGTAACAGCTGACTCCTCAGACATTTGTCTAAATTCAAATTCAGGCTGAAACCATTTGAAATCAAAAGATGTGCCAGAGGTAGAATAGACAGATTTGGCAATTATGCAAAACTAGGGAAGGTGACCAACCAAGGAAATGGTAATATTAAGCCTATCTAAATTAGTGTGACAACAACATCAGAGGTCCAGTTTAACACCTCATTTCCAGTGTAGAGAAAATTACCCTGGGAATGAGATCTGGTACCTGTCAGCTCCTAGAAGCCTGTGTGATATCCAGATCTGGCTGTTAGCATGTATATGATCATTTCAGTTTACATCCCAGCCACAGGTCAATTCTAAGCACTTAATGAAGACACCAGAAACGCAGCTTACCGGGGTATTGGGCACAACTGTCCTCATCCCGCACTGCAGGGCATCCTCCCATCTGGCATCAAAGTCCTTCAGGGCAAGGACTGGGTTTCCTTCTGTCTGTTCAGGAACACAGTCCTCAGAAGGGCCTATTCCCAGTATTACGGGTCAAGACCTGAGTGCTGGGGAGCCTGGCCACCTTCCCAGTTTGCTCTCAAATAAGACACAGGTGAATAGGCATGGAAATTCTGCTTTTGAGGCATTATTATGTTACTAAAAATGCTGTCCCTGCAATTCCTTGGAGGTTCTTAAAACCTGGGGGGCGGGCGGGGATAAGGCGCTTCTGACAAGCAGTACATTGCAAACACTGAGTGCACTGCTGGGATCAGCCATATGGCACACTGGGAATGCCCAAAATCTTCCTGAGCTGCTGGACTCTAGGCATGGGAAAGAGAAGGCAGCTCTCTTGATACCCTCAAGGGCTAAGCAGCTCATCCCAGTTTTAAGACTGCAGCTTTTTCTTCCTCGCCGCAACCCCAGAGAGTCTGGTTCCTCATGCTGCAGGTCTTGTTGTGACATGCTGAGAATTCGTTTTTTATAGGCCTGTGCCCATTGCCTGTGGATGGTTGCACCAGAGAAGTTGTTCTGATACAACTTTCAGTTAGCAGTACGGATTCAGCTGCTACAGCTTTAATGGTGTGAGCCCTAATGGCAGCATCATTTGCAGCACAGGGGAAGTAATTTCATTATGGTTATATACTGTTTTGGGGGAAATGAAAATTCACCATTCACATGGTGGACCTAGAGCTGCTGCTTTAATTACACCCGTCTAATTAAAGCAGCAAAAACCTATTGTAGAAAAGACGATTCATTGTCACACTGGTTCTAGACAGATGCAACTTGAATTAGAATTGTACCCCAAGATTTGTATTGCATTGCCACTTCTCACTGAGCCATCTTGGCAGTAAAGGTCTTAAAAGAAAGACTTTTGAAGTTTTGCTTTCTAAGGGAAATCTAGTTCTTCAGTCCTTTTTTACACTGCTTACAGTAGTTTCATTTGACTGCGCCAATCTTGCCAAGTCAGAGTTTACTTCCGATGACAAGCCAAGGCTTCTCTTCTCATTAGGTGCACTCCATGGATTTTGATGACACGTGGCATCCAGCCACCCACCCATCCGGGACTGTGCTCCCCGCTGTGATTGCACTCTCAGAGGCCTTTCCTCAGAAGCAAAAAATCTCAGGTCTCGATCTGCTCTTAGCTTTCAATGTGGGAATCGAAGTGCAAGGCAGGCTGCTGCGCTTCTCTAGAGAAGCCAGGAATATTCCAAAAAGGTACGTAGCAACGTTTCAAGTAGAAAGTTGAGTGGAAGCTGTTCTTTTTTTTTTTTTTCTTGGTGTTAATATACTTAATTAAATGCCAGTTAAAATACAAATGGCACAGTTAATCATATTTTCTATGTTGTTTGTCTGGAAATTTAGGAAAGGTTCGTCTTAAACACAAATACACTTATGTGACTCCATAAGGCTTATCTAATAGTTTTCTTTTTGAGAGCGTTGAACAGTTCACAAGAAGGAGGTGATGATCTCCCTATTTCTTAGAAAAAGCTGCAAAAGGGCAATGATTAGCAGCAGAGGTCTCAGGCTTTCCTGAATACATATGATCGTGCCTCACTCGCAAACAGTGGCTTGCTTTCAGTAGAAAGGAGTCACCGGTGCTGGGCTGAGAGCAGAGCCCAAGCAGGCAGGGTCTGCTCCGGGGAAAGGCTTGACGTGTGGGATGGACTAGGTGTCGTCTTGCTATTTTCTGCGTGTTCCTTCTACCAATTTTGCAAAACTAATTCAGAATAACAGAACTTGCCTCGCCCAATAGATATAATTTATATGTGACTATAAATGATGTACAGAAAATTTGTGGATGACTATAAACTGTGATGCTTTTGCTATTATGCTACTCAGTATGCCTTGAACTGTGAGCAGTTCTAACGTTTCGATTGCTTTCCAGGGGGGACCTATTGTAAGTGGCAGTGGTGCTATTCTAGTTTAACTTATTCCTGCGGAAAAGCGACAGCTTTTGCCATTAGGACCACACAAATTCTGAATTTATGGTTCTTCATGGTCCAATCCATCTTCCACAGCAATGAAAGGAAACTGAAGCCTATAGTATGTAGTGAATTTGGGTGACTTTTTGAAATATGGTAATGAAGAAATTTTGTTTTCCCAGGTTTCACCCCCCGACCGTGGTTGGTACGATGGGGAGCGCAGCAGCTTGTGCTAAACTGTTAGCTCTTGACCAGCTGAAATGTAAAAATGCCTTGGCTATTGCCGCCTCCTACGCAGGTGCCCCACTGGCTAACGCAGCGACCCAAACGAAGCCTCTCCATGTTGGCAATGCTGCCAAGCATGGTCTAGAAGCAGCTTGCTTAGCGTCACAGGGCCTTCAAGGAAACAAACAGATCTTGGACATGGAGTCAGGGATAGGTGCCTTTTATACAGATTACAATCCCCAGACCCTGCCAACCTTGCAGTCCTATCCCTGGCTGTTGGACCAGCAAGACGTGGCCATCAAACGCTTTCCTGCTCATCTTGGGACGCACTGGGTGGCTGATGCAGCATCTTCTGTCAGGAGGAAGCTTGTGGAGAGCAGCGACAACTTGCTCCCCCTTGATAAAATTGAGAAAATCATTCTCAAAGTCCCAGAGGTGAAATATGTGAACAGACCCAGCCCCACCTCGGAGCATGAAGCTCGACACTCCTTCCAGTTTGTTGCATGCTCTGCTTTGCTGGATGGCAGCACGTCGGTCCAGTCTTTCACTGGTGAGAACATGCACCGGCCAGCCTTGCGGGAGCTCCTCTGCAAAACGCAGCTGGAGCACCCTCCCAATAACACACCTAGCTTTGAGAGTCTTTACTGCGAGGTGAGTGTCACACTTCGGGACGGCAACACGATCAGTGACCGCTGCGAAACGTTCTACGGACACTGGAGGAAACCTCTGAAAAAGGAAGACTTGGAGAAAAAGTTTCAAACCAACGCCTCCAGCGTCCTGCCCACAGAAGCCACCGAAGGCATTATAGAGACTGTGTACAATCTGGAAAATGTAGAGGACTGTTCTGTATTAAGTACATTTTTATCTGGACAGCCAGCTAGAGCGCTTTCAAAGAAGTTGTGCTTCTTTTGAATGTTCCCACCGACAGCTAGAGGCTGTTCACAAAGCAAACAGAATTCAGGACAAACTCCTATTTAGTGACTCAAGCACTTTCAAATGGGACTCCCGTAACCGAAGAGCCATGCTCAGTCCAATATTGTGGGTTTTGACTAAGTAAATAATGTAGAGATTACATGCACAGCTCAGTCAGGCTGAACAGAAGATCCTTGACTTCAATTAACTTTATACCTCTAGAGGCAGAGCACTGCTTGCACGTGACATAAAAATTTCCCTGCCTTTCTGCCAAAAATGCCTGTATGTTCTGCTTCTGCTAAGTAACCCCAAATTCTAGAGGAGTATGGAAATATTGCATCTGTGAGCAACATTGCTGTGAGAAGGAGAGTATGTATTTATTTCTGTAGATTTAGCTCCAGAACCTCCTTGAAGAGGCCACGTCTTACATCCCAACTTTGACGTTTGTGCTAAAATAAACACGGTGCACACACAGAGGAGTAGCACTTGATACTCTGCAACACGTCGGGCTTTGCTGCGACGATTGGCCTTGCGTTGCGTAGGTAAAGGCTGGTGCCCGTCCTCATCACGCCAGCTGCTGAGCAAGAGGGGGAACTCAACACTCCTCCTCATAAAAGCGTCATTTCCCAGTCCCATCTCTTGGCTGCTCCGTGGTACCCGTTTGTTCCTGCTGTTTTCCCACTCCAGTTACAAGGCGCTCATCCAGCAAGGCATGATGCAAAGGCATGATTAGCGCCAATTAGCGATGACGCGTTCAGATTATGTCGGGCACTGCAAAGCACGGGCTGCAGTACGCTCATTACGATGGAGCGAGACCTGTGAGCGTCAGAACGCTTCTTATGCTTGAGGCAATTAAGTGTCCACAGTGACAACCGACCTACCTACCTTGATAATGAATTCTGGGAATTTTTAGTTCCTTCAGGAGTACAAAGCCTTGCCAGATCGTGCCTCTAAGAGAAGCTGGCGACCTTTGCTCACATTTGTAAGAGCAAAGCCCCTGCTCTAGCATATATAAAATGTACCTTCCTTAGGGCACTAGACTATGTATGCAAAAAAAAAAAAAAAAAAAAAAAAAAATCACAAAATACAGCTAATTCATTTTACTAACTAAGCCTCAAATTATTTCATTTCTTAGAGTAAAACTTGTGTATTTTCCACACAGAATGTATTCATGTGTACTTCAGCCTCTGACTCTTGGTTTATAGTCGGTTTATCTAGGGGGCTCTGCAAAAATTTTGGAAGTCCATTAGTTACACTTGCTTAAAGACTTGCAAGGGAAGGGAAAAACCCAAATAACCACATTCTTTTCTTTTCCCCTTCTGATTAGAAAGTAGAATTGAATTACTCACCTGTACTGAAGGTATACAGCTTCACCTACAGCCGTTTCATCTGTAATTATAGTTGGGTAACACCAAATGTGAGTAGGATAAACTTAGCAATAACCATTTGGCGTATTACAGATTTAAAAAAAAAACAAACCAACCAAGAACTGTGAAGTTTAATAAGTGCACTATTTTATTAATGCAATCACGGGAAGCTAAATGCTTATGCTTGGCTAAACCGATTTCCTTGCAGAGGTCTGTACACTTCCAGTCAGGCAAGTTTCAGGACTTCTTGTACCATTGTTCCAATTCCATCAAAGATTTCATGCAGAGGAGCCTTGCACATGAAAGCACAGGTAGTAACTATTTTATTGGCTTTATCCACGTGGGATTCGTTTACGTTTTTGCAAATGTGCTTACATCCAAGCTCTGCTATAGCAGATGCTGTTTCAGCGTCAGGAAACCTGTAAGTAAAAAGACTGTAATTAACATAAAGAGATGATACAGCCATGAAGTTCTGCCCACAGAACTTGAATGAGAGAACTACATGAATATTTAAGTGACTCTTTAGCTGATGATGGCAAGGGAGTCAAACAGATTGCCACTGGCAGGTGCTCCTTTATCCCCTTATGGACACAAGTGATCTGATACCTTTGAAAACAAGGTCTGAAATGCAGAGCCACAGAAACTCCAATTCTTTATTTAAGAATCTTTCAGTAAGTTTACAAGATGATGCCAAGTGCAGCCATAATTGAGCCTCAAAACTTTGAGATGCCAGCTGAACTTGCAGACACGTTAAACCTTTTCCAACACCTCCATATAAGGTCTTCCACTGGGAATGTGCAGAGATTTTATTTTTTTTCCCCTGAGGATAAGGCAGGAACAGGGGGGTGGAGGCAATCCCTCACTACTGCTGCTGCTATGAAATTCCATTCAGAAGTTTTATCAGGAGTTGACAGTCTTTCAAGCAGCACTGACTTCTGCCAGGCCCTGTTCTCACCTGCCTCCCCTAAACTGGCCCCAAACCACTACCTCCAGAAAAACTTTACTAAAGATCTCTGAACAGACAAAACCCCGCAGACACAATTTAAACAGCCACTCGAATTACCACAGGGTACCAACTTTTTGAATGCCAGCTGCCTATTCTTCATTTGCACATTTGCAACATGAATCATGGCCTTCAAAGACACTGGGTAAGCAAATTCTGTATCTCACTTAACATGAGCTAAAAATCTATCACTTGATTACCATGAACCTAACATGAAAAAATAACTTGATATCCCTGGTCACCTGCGGGGGTAGGATTCTGTAAAAGTCTCGTTCTTCTGTCACTTTTAGGACTGATGGATGCTACATCCAGTGACTCATTAGCACCCACGCAGCACAGTAAAGCCAATGCAGGAACTTACGTTACCTTCGGTGGCTCACCGAGTGACAGCTTAGGCAAGAGATAAGGCTACCTAGAGTTTTCATGCTATTAATTGTAATGTGTCTGTGGATGCTGACATCACAGAACACATCACAGACCAATGTAGCTCTGAATTTAGGGATAAGTTGTTCCAACATTGCAGTGCACAAATCACCTGACCTCACAGATGCAGTCTGTCTGCCCTGAGAGTTCTGCGCCTGCTATTACTGTGCAAGTGGAAAATTTGAAATCAGTGAAAAATGTCACCAATAAGTTACCCAAAGGTTACTGGCACCAGAGACCTCAGACTTTTGCAGAGAAGACTGTCTGTTCCCTAATCCTAATTCCCATGTAAATTATCTCCATCCATCTCCTTCTTACCTCCCATCGACGTCTTTATCTTGGCCGACCGTGACCTCACAACCAGGAAAGACTTTAGCTGCCAGGACTGGTGATATGCAGCACAAACCAATGGGCTTTTTAGCACTGTGGAAAGCTTGGAGTGTGGAGCTCACGTGCTCGTGGACAGTACAGTTCTTGCCATCTACAGCCCAGGAACACAGGTTCTTTGCTACGCCAAAACCACCTAAAAAAAAAAAAACAACCAAAACCCAAGCAAAAGCTCAAATATAAGGCACTGCTAAAAGCCATTAAATTCAATACCAGAGAGAAATTCTCCTTTTCTACAATACAATCATGGCATACGTAGGACCATTAAGTTACTATACTGAACGCTTTCAGCATATGAAACATGACGGGTTTATAGTATTAGAAGTTTAACTGCAGATTTTTTTTATACCACGTACATAGGACAGAAAGCTTAATCTTGCTTCAGTGAGTAACAAAGAGTTAAATAGGAAACCTCACATTCATTTGCTAGTGACTGGAAAAGCTGCACCATCCGATAGGCACCCCTTGATAAGCAAGAGAGTAATGCAAACAGGGGTTTGACCCTCTACAGTAACTTCACTCTCAAGTTTTAGTTCAATACCTGAACAATTACAGAAGAGCTTTTTCCCCACCTAGAACTCTTTTTGGACTTAAAAAAAAATAAAAGGTTAACGCAATCAAAACAAAATGGACATTACATAAAAACGAACTGATAACATGATATTCTGAGACATAGCACTTGTGAATGATAACATAAGGTCCTATTAAAAGTAATGCCGAATTTTTCTTTCTAGAAATTAATTATAACAATCCTTTGCTTGCATTTAATCTTCATTTAATTGTACAAGCAGATTATATTTTACAGCACCTTTGTTTGCTGGATTTATAACCATCAGGATAATCAAAGTAAGAAGGTTATTAGTAAGTGTAACCATCCATTATACTTGATTCCCTACGGAATGCGCATGACATCAACTTTTCTACAATAAACAAACAGAAATTTCCACAAGTATTTCAATGGACAACATCAAGAAGTTTTGCGTTTTTAATATTTTTCTTTTCACTCTTTGCTCACTTTCGAGTGTTATCTGGAATCTCTGAGGTAACATTTTAATTTTCAAACTTAATAAGGTTTATTTCCCTCTAACTGTTATTACAGCAACCCCCCTGAGCCTACGTTATAACAGCATGAAATTAACGTGGAAAATACTTGCTAGCCTCTGCTCCCTAATCAGCCCTGATGGCACTCACTCATTTTCTGGCTGCAAGTATGTTTCTCTGCATTATATACACACTCCCTCTGCTGGCCCTCCAGCAGAAGACAGTGTAACAACTTCAAAATTATCTCTTGGGCACAATCGTGAAGGCAATATTTAGCAGAACTATGAATATTCTGGAAAGTGACTTCAGCAAGTCATAATTCCCTCCTGACACTTTGTTTTCTTCATGTCTAAAGTAATTGCAATTACCTCCGTCTGAAAGACAATTTTGTGGTCTATAAATAAAAAATTATCCATAAACATATTTAGTATAATTTGATCAGCAGCAGACCAGATACATAATTAAACCAAAATGTACTCACATCTGACAGGGAATATAATCTACTTGGCAACCTACTATTCTGCCAACAATTGCAGAGGCCCTAAAAATAAGGCATTATCATGTAATGTCAAGTTTGGTCTTACTTTTCTGTTCTGGTCAGTGTTCTTGTCTGCAAGTCGGTACTAAAGTTTTCACAAGCTTTAAAAAGAAGGAATGGTGTGATGTATGACCTAACACCAAAAGAACACTCTGACATTTTATTCATTTATAGTTCATGAATTTAAATAAATTGAGATGACTTGTCAGCCCATGAGAGCCTGCTAAAACATTTTCTCATCCGCAAAAGAAAGTAAGTAAAAAAAAAAGACCACACGTACCTCTCAGAATCAAGAGCATAATATCGTCTCTAAGCGGATTTGAAAACAAAAAAAAGTAGCAGAGGCAAAACAGTTACTTACAATTGAAAAACCACAAATTATTTTAAAAGAACTTACCAGGGAAAATGACTGCATCAAATTCACTAGCTTTCAGTTCAGCCAGATCCTGAATGTTTCCTCTTGCCAATCTGGCACTTTCAACTAACACATTTCTCTTCTCTTCTGTTGGACTTCCTTTTAGGTGATTGACTACATCCCTTTGCTCAATATTGGGGGCAAATATCTTCACCTAGAACATAGAGATGAAGCAATTTTGTGAATGTAAACAGAACTCGTATATATTGGTCACCATAAAGATCATTTAACAAAAACAGTTTTTGTTCCTGAAGTCTCTTATCCAAGAGAAGTGGATTCCACAGGACGTATCTATTGCACTAAACATCTAAAGCGACAGATGACCTATTAGGATGGGTAAACCCAGCCATCCTCCCCACGTATTCCTGCGGCTTTTTGACAGGAGTGCCTTCTTACGCCAACATTAAGCTTACTGATTTTGCCAGGGCCTGCCTTCCCTCTGCGGGAAACCCCAAGGACAAAAAGAGCACCACAATTTATGCCAGCAGCCTGAGCAGGCACACAGCTGAGTCTGCAGAAAGGCTGCTCTTCACTGTTACGGGATCAGAGCACCAAAAAAAAAAAAAAAGTTTTCTACAAAAAAAAATCTAAAAGATAAAAATGCAAACTTTACAAGCATTTCCAGTGCAGACACTAGAGTCACTCACTTTCCTAAAAGACTGGTAGGAGGAAGGAAAAACAAAACATGGAAGAACACATTTTGGTTAGGCACAAAAGGGGAAAGCTGTACCCAAAATATAAAGTTCTGAGACAGGTATACACCGCAGGGACTGCTTCCCCACCTCTGTTTCGATGCTCGCTTTGCAGACTTCTCAGCGCTCACCGCTTCAGCTAATTTTAGAGAAGACAATTTTGTGCTGAATACGGGGGTGCTGCTGTTACCGTCGGAGACCTGAGCGCAGCTAGAGGCAGACAGAAAGCGACCGCCTTCCGCCACCTGCAGCCACAGACAGGACCAAAGCACCCGGCCACATCCTGGCCCAGGCTTCGCCGACGACTCCCAGTGACCGAAAAAGCCCAGGCGCGGCCAGCAGAAAACAAGCAGGTGAACCCCAGCGAGGGCGAGCCCCTGACTTCTGCAAAGGCGACGGGAAAGCAGAAGAAGGGTTTTAACCGGCGCCCACCTCCAGCTGGGAGAGGAGGAGCGGGGCGAGGCCTCCCG